AAACGGGAGGGAGGGCAGGACCAATATGCAAGTGTGAATGAGGAGGCATAGGGCAGTGGGACATGGTAAAGCCTGTCGAGCGGGTCACTCACTGGGCCCTTCCTTGTGAGCCATTTAAAGGAGGGAGATCATACAGAGTATGCTCTGCCCTCAGGGGAAGCCATGTACTCCAACCAGTAAAACCATGTCCTAGAGTAGCGTTCCTGCCTACCTTGAGAGGACAGAATCATGTCTTCCATTACCCTAATCTCCTCCACCCTGCGTATCCACATAGATATGGTAGGGGAAGAGGGAGTCTTCCAAAGACTAGGAATGCAGGATTTAGCTGCATCCATCAAGTGACGTACCACAGATCGGCCGTAGGCTTTCCTGGACATAGGAACGTTGTGCAACAGGAAAATTGAGGGGTCCAATGGTAAGTCAGATTCCATGAACTTCTTCACAATGTCGTGAACCGTTGACCAGAATTGTGCCAAGGCTGGGCAGGACCAGAAGAGATGGCGTAGAGTTCCCCCGTCTGCATCACATCTCCAGCAGACGTTGGCAACTCCCCCATACATCTTATGTAAGAGCTCCGGTGTTCGATATCATCTCGTAAGGATCTTATAATTAGTCTCCTGATACTTAGTACAGATCGATGATCGCAGAGTGAAATGGATAATATTCCGACTTTGGGCATCTGAGAACGTGTTCCCTAGTTCTTGTTCCCAGCGTGTCAGGAACACTGGTTTTCCGGGCTCTGCTGGCGTTACAAGAGTTGCGTAGATCTCTGATGCCTCGTCGGTGCCCTGGAATCGCACAATCTCTCAAAAGATGTACGTGCGGTCCCAAAACACACCGCTGGTGGTAAGGTAAGAAAGAAGTGTCTCAGTTGGAATACTTTCCATTGGTCCAAACCAAATACTCCTTCAGGGTTAGTAAGGGATACCATGGAAGGCCACGTGCCCCCACGTGTAAAATGGGAGGCCTTAAAGAGATTCCTGGCGATCAAGAATTGGAAAGGGCCAGACGAGGTTCCCGGTGGAAAGTCCGGGTTACCCAGAATTGGGTAAAGCGGTCAAAGCCTCACTAATCAGACGCCATCTGGTAAGAGCCTTCGAGCACACTGCAAGAGTAGTACCCATCAGGGGTGGGTCTTAAGCGAGTGGGGGAGAGTCGAGGGACACCATGCCGCCCTAGCTAAGATATAGGGCGACATGGATTGCTCCAGGGGCACCCATTGTTTCATAGGTGAGTGTCTACACCAGTCGACCAAACGAACCAGATGGCTAGCTACATAGTATTTCTGTAGGTCAGGAAGGGCTATGCCCCCTGAGTCTTTAGGTAGAGTCCGGAAGGAGTGGCTTAAACAAGGATGGCGATTAGCCCAGATAAACCTTGTCAGCAAGGAGTTGAACTGGCGAAAATACCCATTGGGGACCGAGATAGGTAGGGCTTGAAGATACAGGAGATACAGGAATTTCAGCAAAATTGTCATTTTGATGGCGTTGCACCGTCCAAACCAGGAAAAGAAGCCATTCTGCCAGCTGGAAAGGAGCGTGCGTACTTGTGCCAAGAGAGGTGGGAAGTTGTAGGTAAAGATATCCTTCACGTGCCCAGGTATTTCAACGCTCTGGTTGTCCATTGGAAATTAAAGCTATTCTGCAGGGATCGGGTAAGTGGAGTTGGGTTTGAGATTCCCATGGCAGTGGATTTGCTAAAGTTGATCTTTAGATTGGATAGCTCGCCATATGTCGCGAATTCCTGCATGAGATTGGGAAGGGAGATTACCGGGTTGGTGAGAGAGAACATCAGGTCATCCGCATAGGCAGAAACTTTGTATTCCGCAGATCCCTTTTTAACTCCAGTCACATCAATATTAGACCTAACATGTCCGAGGAATGGTTCTAGAGATAGGGCGAATAGCCGCCATTCACCTTAGCACATGCTGTTGGGATGGAGTATACTGCCGATACCCAGGATAACATGTGTTGTCCCAGGCCTATATGTTTCAAAGTAGCGAACATGAATTCCCAGGAGACCCGATCGAAATCCTTTTCAGCGTCAGTAGAAAGAAAGAGGCAAGGTATTTTGGTTGTCGCCGCATAATGAACAAGGTGACAGGTCTTGATGGTGTTATCACGAGCCTCCCGAGCTGGAATGAACCCCACTTGGCCATAGTGTATCAGGTCAGGCATGTGAGGGCTCAGTCTAGTCGCCAAAATTTTGGTAAACAGCTTCAGATCGGTGTTCAGGAGAGATATAGGACGATAGCTGCTACAAGAGGATGGAAATTTTCCATCTTTTGGGATAACTGAAATATGGGCGGATAGAAAGTCTCTGGTGAGCCGAGAGGTGGAGGACAAGGCATTAAAGGCCTGTGTAAAGCGGCCTGCCAGTACCGCGGTCATAAGCTTATAGTATTGAGTTGTGAAGCCATCAGGGCCAGGCGGTTTCCCGTTCTTCGTGGATTTAAGCGCAGCGGTAAACTCTTCCGAGGTTATAGGGGTATCTAGTGTATCCCTAATCTGCACATCTAGAGAAGGCATAGCGCTCGAGGACAGGTAGTAGGAGATCTTATCCTTTAAGGTGTAAAAGTAGGAGTAGTAGTAGGTAGTACAGGTAGTAGGAGATCTTATCCTTTAAGGTGTAAAAGTAGGAGTAGAGTCATGATGTATAATTTGGAGTAGTAATCTCGGAAGGCGTTAGCTATAGCTTTCGGGAGGGACTCTTTAGTCTGGTGGGATGTAACCACATGTGGTACGTAACCACATGTGGTACGTGGCTGCCGTTGTTCCCTCAGTGCTCTAGCTAGAAGTTTCCCGCATTTATCCCCCGACTCGTAACATTTCCTCCTACAGCGTGTAAGTGCCACTTTTACCTTATAGGAGGTCAGTGAGTTTATCTGGTGGCGAGTGGAAAGAATGTCTGCTAGTAGTGTAGGCGAGCCGGTCGATTTATGTTGAAATTCCAGGCCGTGTAGGGTATGCAAAAGATCTATCAATGCGGCCTCCCTCCGACGCTTGACTCGTGTGCCATGCTTAATCAGGACACCCCTAATAAAGACTTTGTGTGCTTCCCATAGAAGAACTGGGTCGCAGTCCTCTGAGGCCAAAATAGGAGTGTAATTCTTTAGTGACATCAGTCAGGATGAGTGGGTCTTGTAGGAGGCTGTCATTAAGGCGCCACTGCCACGAATTACGTGAAGGGTGGTCCGACAGAGCAAGGTGCAGACCGGGGCGTGATCCGACCATGTGATGGTGCCAATGTCTGTGGTGGTTATCATCGCTAAGTATTGGTGGGGAACAAAGAACATGTCTATTCTAGAGTACGTATCATGAGGTGTAGAATAGAAGGTGTAGTCTTTTATGGTCGAATGCTGTTCACGCCAAGCGTCGACAAGCTGGGAGCGATAGAGAGCGAAGAAAGCGTCTATTAGCTGTGGGAGAGAGTGAAGACTATCTCGAGGATGAGTCTAGGAATGGATCCAGTGTAAGATTGAAATCCCCTCCTAGAATCAAAATCCCTTCAGTATAGGTCAGCAGCCTGTCCAGAATACTGTCTAAGAAAACCCCCTGATTGGAGTTTGGGGCGTAGATTGCCGTGAACGTGACCGTCGTGTGGCCTATCTTACCCTTAAGAAGCAGGTATCGTCCCTCAATATCAGTCTGGCAGTTTATGAACGTCCAGAGAACCAGCCGTGAAAGCACTACAGAGACTCCAAATCTGGGGCTTTTTATTTTAAAAATCTGGAGTAAAAAAACCCAGGAATTATTATCAAAAGAAAGCAGATATTTGTTTTTCTGATTTTAACAAATATCTAAAAAGCGCAACTTGAATTTGATTGGTTGCTGTTCCCAACACAACTTTCTATTTCATATTCTTTTTCAAATATAAAAATTAGCTTGCTTTTATTGTATATATGTTAGTACAGGGCTCAAAATGTCAAGTCCTGAGCTACTAGCCAGGCCTTAAGAGTTACTAGCCACCAGTTGATCCTGCGATCGTACGATAATCGGCAGGTGTATGGGCAGCGTGCGACCGCTTCTACTGTAAGCTCGCACGACTTTCGTTTTCCAAGCATGCTGGATAAACCTGCTGAAAATCGTACGATTTTTGGCGGGCTGGTGGCGTGGTCGGAAGACGAATTCCGCATGCGCACATGGCCCACTCAGCACTGCAATCATCGGCAGCCCGCCCCTCAGCGTGGAGGGCTTGCGATGATCGCAAGTACGATCTGCCTGTCCAAGATGGGCAGATCGTACGAGATTTTAATGACCTTACAACCATCGCATAGCGAAAGTCGGTGCGATGGTTGTAAGGTGTATGGGCAGCTTAAAACACATTATTACACTTCTCAACGTTACACCCCCACCCCGCACAAATATAATACTAAAATTCCCCCGCACACAAAAAATAATACACATTGCCCCGATATAAGCCCCCCCACAAACATAAAATAATATACTCCCCCCTTATTAATCCCCCTATGCACATAAAATAATATACTCCCCCCTTATCAACCCCCCACACACATAAAATAATACACTCCCCCTTATTACCCCCACCACACAAAATAATACACTCCCCCCGAGCCCCCTCACCTGTCACGTCTTTGCAGGGATGGGGCTGTGAGCAGGATCGATCCCAGGTTATCTGGGGGTGATTAGTGAGGTCTGCAGCAGATCTCACTAATCACACCCAGATAACCTGAGATTGATCCTCCTCACATACATTCTTTCTTTTGGCCGGAGCTCAGAACTGTCAAAGAGCTCTGGCTGAAGCAAGCCAGAGCTGACAGGGGCAGCTCTGCGGTCTGCATCCGACACAGATGCAGACCGTAGAGCTGCTCCCGCAAGTCAGGTACGCGGTCTGCGACCGTGTGCCTGACATGTCAGCTGTCTGTGGGTCACATAGTACCAGGTGGTGGGCCGGAGTTGGCCTGCGGACCGGTACTTGGAGACCCAAATTTCCACTCGCCCTCACTTTATTTTTACTCGCCAAATGCGAGCAGGCAAGTGGAAATTTGTAGCCCTGTGTCAGTACATTGGCAGTTCTAGAAGTGTTGTATAGAATCCATCAGTGCGTCTTGAACTACTAACATAGCAAACGCTAATGCTATCAATATGTTGTGCCCCAAAATGAGTAATCTGGATACTGTTGTAAACCTCTGGTAGGAACAGAAGGCTGGGGTTTTTACTGGCCATATTTCTGGGCACTTTTGCTATAGTCACATGTAAGCTGTTGGAAGTCGGTGGATTTATGACTACTAAGCCTCTGCAGCGAAACCTTTGGTTTAGGGTATCCACAAAGCTTGACAATCCTGGAACAAACATGGGTGCCAAATACAGCACACGTGAATGAAAATCTTTCAGTCCATCAAAGCTTAAAATTAGGCTTGGAGAAAGGATCCTCTGAATTTCAGTCTTAATTTCTTGAAGGACTCGATGAACAAATTCTATTTCATCTGAAGTGACCAAATGCAAAAGGCACAATGTTAAATGAAGCTCTGGCAGGGGAGTTAGGAACTCTGCTATTTTTGTGTTCTGTTTTAACAGAGCATCTTGTACCTCTTTTACAGAGTTTCTCACTACTTCACTGCTAATGCGGACTGCAATAAAGTGAGTAGGCCTCACTTTTTTAGTGCTTTGCTTCTGCAAATTATTATCATTCTCATACTCTTCTTCTTCAACCAATAAATCAGGGGCCACTTCTTCAATTTTTTCCTCATCATTCTTTTCAGTTTGTACAAGAGCTTTGTGCTGTTCAATTATGTCTAAGATGGTCAATCCACTTCCTGTTGAACCGAACACATCATCTGTGCGACTAGTTTTGTCCCACACCACCAGCTTTTGATATTTAAAGTACTGGATGCGATGTTTAGGTATAGCAAGGACATCTACCCCAGCTGAAGCTAAATCTTCCCAACAAAAAGCTGAGAAAGGTTTTTCAATTACCCCCAAAAATCTATCAAGATAACCAACTGAAAAATGCTCCTTAGGCAAATTGGGGTCCCATTGTATTCTGGAGATGACATCACTGGCTGTCTTCATGGGAGGCTTTTTGCCTTTTGGTTCGCTGAATGCCTTGTCTATGCTTAAATTGTCTTTATTAGCAGTAGGCTGTGCAGAATCATCAGATGTGTCTACATGGGTGTTTCGACATCTGTCACCAAATCTACATGATCCTGCAAGAAAAAATTTGCATAATGTTTTATCAGATGGCTCCTGCTCAGGCTCTTCCATTTCATTCTGTGAGGTTATTTCTTCTTTTTTGGAATCAGCATCACAATCGCTCCTCTCCATTTCTAGTTAAGGTTTCTAAAAAAACAACAACAAAAAACACAAAAATGAAACACTCAAGTCAAGTTGTTACTGCCATCTGTGCCCCATTGAGATTTCTCCATGCTTCCTTTCTCATAAGCACAACAGGAAGTGCATAGAAATCTCCCCAAAGTGAGGAGAAATTCTACCACTGACAGAGTTCACCTTAACAGGAGTCCTTACTGGTAGATATGCCACTATGACTGTGCCAGTGACATTTTTTTATTTCTATTGTTTTTCAATCCCTGTGATAATAGTCACCAGCAAGGATGTAACTGCTGGAATAGAGAGGACGGGTATGATGCTGGAATAGAGAGGACGGGTTTGATGCAGGAATAGAGAGAACCGGGTATGATGCAGGAATAGAGAGGACGGGTTTGATGCAGGAATAGAGAGGATGGGTATGATTCAGGAATAGAGAGGACGGTTATGATGCAGGAATAGAGAGGACGGGTATATGATGCAGGAATAGAGAGGACGGGTATGATGGTGGAATGGGGTGCAGAGGAGGGTTATGATGATGGAATGGGGTGCAGAGGATGGGTATGATGATGGAATGGTGTGCAGAGATGGAGAGGACGGGTATGATGGTGGAATGGAGTGCAGGGATAGAGAGGACGGGTATGATGGTGGAATGGGGTGCAGAGGAGGGTTATGATGATGGAATGGGGGGCAGAGGATGGGTATGATGATGGAATGGTGTGCAGAGATGGAGAGGACGGGTATGATGGTGGAATGGGGTGCAGAGGAGGGTTATGATGATGGAATGGGGGGCAGAGGATGGGTATGATGATGGAATGGTGTGCAGAGATGGAGAGGACGGGTATGATGGTGGAATGGGGTGCAGAGGAGGGTTATGATGATGGAATGGGGGGCAGAGGATGGGTATGATGATGGAATGGTGTGCAGAGATGGAGAGGACGGGTATGATGGTGGAATGGGGTGCAGAGGAGGGTTATGATGATGGAATGGGGGGCAGAGGATGGGTATGATGATGGAATGGTGTGCAGAGATGGAGAGGACGGGTATGATGGTGGAATGGGGTGCAGAGGAGGGTTATGATGATGGAATGGGGGGCAGAGGATGGGTATGATGATGGAATGGTGTGCAGAGATGGAGAGGACGGGTATGATGGTGGAATGGGGTGCAGAGGAGGGTTATGATGATGGAATGGGGGGCAGAGGATGGGTATGATGATGGAATGGTGTGCAGAGATGGAGAGGACGGGTATGATGGTGGAATGGGGTGCAGAGGATGGGTATGATGATGGAATGGAGAGGACGGGTTTGATGCTGCAATAGAGAGGACGGGTTTGATGCAGCCTAATACAGGTGTGAATGCAGCCTAATACACTTATACACTCTTCTCCCCATCTCACATAAAAAAAAACAATCCTTGCACATAAAATAATACACCCTACCCCCATACACATAAAAAAATACCCCCACACACATGTATATATATGTATATATATTAAAAAAACATTGCTGTTTGCCAGGATACAGAGGAGCAACAGCAGAGGAGAGCAGCTCCCATTTTTTTTTATCTTTACTCGATCTACACCCCCTCCCCCCTCTCACAGTGTCCGTCGTTTTCTCTCCCTCTTCCCCCCCCTCCTCTCTGAGGGGAGGGGGGAAAGAGTGAGACACAGACCGACCATGTGGAGAGGAGGGAGGGAAGCATGAGAGAGACCGACCAACGCTAAGAAGCAGCTCTCAGCGTCGATCTGTCTCTCTCTCCCCTCAGTCTCTGGCTGTTACATTACATCCCCCACCCCCACCATCCCTGGAGCCTCTCTCTGTCTGACTCTGTTGAAAAATACATAACAGAGAGTGCTCCAGGTTTTAGGATTAGCAGTACATCTGGAAATTCTGGAATGGAACCAGGTGGAAACACTTACCTTTCCCATCCAGTCAGTCGGACTCGGCAGGCGGCGGCAGCAGCAGACATGCTCGTCGGCTTCTTCCTCCGCGCTTCTGCCCGGGCAAACTAAGCTCCGCCCCCTGTAGGCACTAAGCTCAGGGGAAGATACCAATAGCGCGGGGGGCGGGACCAGGCAAATTTAACTTTTAATAGGGGGCGGGACCAGGCAAATTTAACTTTTAATATAATTCAATACGAAAAATTATGGCTTGGAGCTACGGGCCCCCCTAGTGGCCTGGGCCTGTGACACTGGTATCGGCCGTACCCCCCCGACGACAGCACTGGCTCCGAGTGTCTGAAATGTATCCAGGCATCCCAAATTGTGGAGAGTTTCAACTCCGAATTCCACAGGGGGGCTGTTAGATCTCCCATTACGTATAAGTAATTTATCTGAGTGAGCCAGATCTGTAAAGTGGGAGGGTCAGCTTCTCCCTCTCTATTTCAAAGTTTTTATTAGAGTTTTTACAAACATAGATCAGCAGTCATAATAACGGGACCATGCATTACACACATCACTGCAAATACAGGTGATCAGCAGATGTAACATATAATACTATAATAGTCCTGTAATACACCGTAAGAAAGCAGACTATTATGGGCAACTTAATGATGGTAGCTGCCATCCCTTGGGCGGGGCAAACTGGAATGGGCGGGGACCTGCCGTTTGGCGGGAAACCTCCTGTTCGAATGTGCACAGACTATAGGCTCACCCCGGCCACTGTTGTGACACACGCCGGGGTATTTAGGCAGTGTGATGTGATGCGGCCGAGTAGATGGTGGAGTGAGTGGAGATGTGGAGGGATCGGCGGGAGAGGTGGTCCTTGGTTCTCCTGAATCCTTTTTAGATAAACCAAATGTAAGCCCAGATAAATAAAGGTTACCATTTAGCATCAGATGTTTTTCCATGCCATGAATATGGATTTTTTGGTTTATCAAACGGTGACGGTAATATCCCCCTCCTCCTCCTCCCCTCCATATAGGTGGAGGGGCAGCATATGTGAGGAAATGTTTATCCAATTAGTATCTAAAATACATGTGGAATACTAGTTTAGTTTCTTTGGTACTGTCCCGTGCTATATATATACTATTTGATAACATGTTAAATTTGCAGTATCCATAGATGGGGATTTAACCTTACTTCTGTACTCCTGTACGTCCCTCACTCCCCACGTCATCTGGGCGGTGGGTTCTGTCCCCCTGGAGATGCGGACTCATTCATCACTGGCACCCCTAACAACGTTATTTATAATTATTTATTTAAATGGTTATCTATTTTTTAATGATTACTATTATGTGATGTAAAAACCTGTATCCTTATAGATAGACATATTTATACCCATGGTATTCAAATATTGCAGGCAGCCTCTTATCTTCCTGAGGAAGCTTTTTTAAGCAAACGTGTAGAAGGCTGGACCCACAGTGCACGGACACAAGACTGGATATGTTAATGAAATTACATGATGAATCTTTATATATATTTATATGAAATAGATGTTAAAATGCTTACCTCAATTGTTGATGTTGTGTATGTGGCTGTGCGGTCCAGGGAGGCGTTATACCTAAAATCAATTTTAAATCCCTTTAGGGTTGTTTTGTGGATACAATATTGATGAGCTTAAACAATGGTTTTCATCTTTATCTATCTATCTATCTATCTATCTATCTATCTATCTATCTATCTATCTATCTATATAAGTAAAAAATATATTTATCTCAAGACATTTGTGCAATATGTGTTTTTCATGCCTAGAGTGACACCTTAAAAGCCCCACATAACCTATTTTTTCTTTACACAATTATATGTAGGGGTGTGGTGTCCTGTTCCTTCTGGTGGCTCAGAACCTTTTTCTCTTTAAATATATTTAATATGCTTGTTAAACGTTCATTTAGCATGATATTATCCATTCTGGTTATAAATTCCCTGTACGATATTTGTTGCTTCTTCCAATTACCAGCCAAAGTGAACTTAGCTGCTAGAAGAATAAAGTGGGAAAGTGTTTGCTGGTGTTTATTTACAGGGCCGGCCTTAGGTCTTTAGGCAGATGCTAAAATCCTGAATAATCATACCGCCAGGGAGGTTAAACTAGGTACAGAGTAGAATGAAAAATAGCACACTTTAGATCCCGTACAATGGGAACTTGGAACAGTTTGGACATTAATTTAAAGATTTTTGACCAGAAGATGGTAGCGAAGGGACACTTCCACCAAATATGAAGCATGTCAGCCAGAATACTGCACCCACGAAAGCAGCAGCCTGAAAGCGCAGCTCCCATATGCGCAGTACGGGAAGGTACCATGTACCATCTCATGATCACCTTATATGCCACTTCCGTCCAGGAGGCCACTATGTAATTCTCCCATTTCTGGACATAGGAATGAGAGGAATAGCTCGAAAGTTTATTTAATTGGGAGTATAAAATTGTAATTAGACCAAGCCCTTCTGGAGTATACAGACAAAGATGCTCAAAGCATGTGAGAGGATGTTGCGGATCCCTTATACTCGCCAAGGACGAGATCCAATGGTGAAGCTGAAGGTATCTGAACAATTCAGATTCAGGTGGTTGCTTACGCTCCTTGATATACTGCCAAGTAGGGACACAGTTAGAACGAAAAAAATCATAAACCAAGGCATAACCATTGGCTGGCCACCACTTAAAAGGTCAGAGGCGTGGAGGCTCCTGGTTTAAATAACGGTTGTGAGAACAATGGTAAGAGAGGTAAGTACGGAGACAGTAACCTTGCTGAATACTTGATCGTGTCCCAAACCTTCAGTGCATGTGTCATGGGCTTGCTCAGAGTTTTGGGCCAATCACAGAAGGGTAACCAAGGCAAGGCATGCAGTGGTATGGGAAAACAAGTTGGATTTTCCAATAAAATCCACAGTGGGATTTTATTATTTTGGTGAATAGAGATGAGTGGTAGAACTTGTGAGGCCTGATAATAGAGCCATATATTAGGCAATCCAATACCTCCATCTCTTTTATGTTTATATAAAGTGGTTTTAGAAACTCTAGTTTTCT